CGGAGGGGGAAAATCCCCTTTTTGGGGGGGAATACGTCCAAATTTCTGGGAGGGATTCTGAGGGGACAGTCCCCTTTTTGGGGGTTATTTATCCAAATTTCTGGGGTGGACAGTCCCCTTTTTGGGGGGATATTGTCCCCATTTTGGGGAGGGACACAGAGGGAACAATCCCCTTTTTGGGGGTTATTTATCCAAATTTCTGGGGTGGACAGTCCCCTTTTTGGGGGGATATTATCCCCATTTTGAGGAGGGACTCTGAGAGGACAGTCCCCTTTTTGGGGAGGATATTTTCCACATTTTTGGGGAGAAACTAGGGGGACAATCCCTTTTTTTTGGGGGGGGTCTCACCGTAGGCCACAGGGGTCAGCTTCAGCACCGTGTGCAGGGGACACTTGAGGTAGGGCAGCTCATCTGAGGTGAGGGGGGAAAGTTAAAAGAATGATGTGGGCACAGCAGGTCTGGGGTGTCCCCAAATGTCCCCCGACTGTCCCCTGAGTGTCCCCAAGGCCTCACCTGCACTCTTGTCCAAGAAATAAGCCAGCAGGCAGCGCATCACAGCCTGGTGGCAGATGACCAGGACATTCTCCTGCCTCTCCAGCTCCATGATGACCGGCTCCAGCCTCTGCACCAGGTCCTCGTAGGACTGGGGAGGGGGGCTTAGGACCCCTGCCCCACTCCTCCCAGGGAGAATTTTGGGGATTTTTTTGGGGGGGGGGGTTTACCTCGCCCTTGGGGTAACGGTAGCGATACTTGTCCTGATCCCTCAGCGCCAGCTCCTTGGGGTAATGCTCCTGGATCTCCTCGTAGGTCATCTCCTCACAGACCCCCTGTGCGACAGCGCTGTTGGGGACACGGGAGGTGGAGGTGTGTCCCCTCCCGTCCCCAAAAAGAGGGCGTGGCTCACGGCATCGATCTCGTTGAGGGCTTTCCACTGCTCGTAGGGCACGCCCAGCGCCTCGGCGGTCTCGATGGTGCGTTTCATGTGGCTGGTCCACACCTTGAGCTCCCGGATGTCCTGGCTGCGGATGAACTGGGCCAGCGCCTGGGCGTACTGGGGGAAGAGTTTGGCTACTGGGTTGGTGGATTGCCCTGGCCCTCTGGGTATCGCAGCAGGGGGATGGGGTGACCCCCCCCAGCCCCACCTGTTGGCCACGAGGGGACAGCCCTGAATCCTCCAGGTGTGTCCCCACAGGTTGAGATGGCTCTGAGCTCCACCTGGTACCCACGAGGGGACATCCCTGAGCCCTCAGGTGTGTCCCCACAGGTTGAGCTGGCTCTGACCGCCCCCAGCCCCACCTGTTGGCCACGAGGGGACAGCCCCGAGTCCCCCAGGTGTGTCCCCACAGGTTGAGCTGGCTCTGAGCTCCACCTGGTACCCATGAGGGGACATCCCTGAGCCCTCCAGGTGTGTCCCTGCAGGTTGAGCTGGTTAGGAGCTCCCTATGGGGGGACATCCCTGAGCCCCCAGGTGTGTCCCCACAGGCTGAGCTGCCTCTGACCCCCAGCCCCACCTGTTGGCCACGAGGGAACATCCCTGAATCCTCCAGGTGTGTCCCCACAGGTTGAGCTGACTCTGCCCCCACCTGGTACCCCTGAGGGGACATTCCCGAGTCCCCCAGGTGTGTCCCTGCAGGTTGAGCTGGCTCTGAGCTCCACCTGGTACCCCTGAGGGGACATTCCCGAGTCTCCCAGGTGTGTCCCCACAGGTTGAGCTGGCTCTGAGCTCTACCTGGTACCCATGAGGGGACATTCCCGAGTCCCCCAGGTGTGTCCCCGCACGTTGAGCTGACTCTGCCCTCACCTGTTGGCCGCGAGGCGACAGCCCCGAGTCTCCCCCGATGCGTCCCCGCAGGTTGAGCTGGCTCTCGCCGTGGCGGCTCAGGTAGATGGCGCGGGGAGTGACGTGGATGTTCATCAGGTAATAAACGGTGCGGCTCTGCACGTGGCCCTGCACCCGGTTCGCCAGGTACCGCAAGCCCACGTCGAAAATCTTGATGTAGGAGAGCCCGCTGGGGGAATTTGGGAGGGGTAACCTGGGCAGGGGCAGGGCTGGCAAGGTGTAGGGGGGGGATGTGGGGTGGGGGTCACCTGTCCAGCTCGTCGTCCAGGGGCTCGTAGGTGGCTTTGTAGCACTCGATGCGCTTCAGGAAATCGGCCACCGCCTCGTCCTGGGCACGGCCTTTGTAGTCGGGGCTGCTCAGCTTCACTTGCTGGGGAATTGGGGAGGGGGAGCACGGTTTTTTTGGGGTGCGGGCAGCTTCCCCCGGCCCCTGTTGTCACCTCCAGGTGGCTGTTGTCACCTCCAGGTGCCTGTTGTCACCCCCTCGCCCAGGGTCTCACCTTGATGTTCTCCTCGATGATGGCGGGGTCGTCACAGATGGACTCGACGAACAAAACCTGGGAGGGGATGGAAGGGAAAAAGGGGGGGCACCAGTGGCTCCCCAATGTTGTGACACCCCAAAAATTGTCACCACCCCATCTGTGACACCCCGCAATCAGTGCAACTGTGACACCCCCAAAATTGGT